CATCCTCTCCTCTCTATTCTTCCATCCGGCAGCCCTTCTTATTTTATCATCCTTAGATCACTCACTCCCGTCCTCCATTATCTCTGCCTCTTTTTTTTTTTCGCTCTGCTTGTCTTTGGCACTGACCTCACTACAGCATTGCAGTGTAGTGGAAGATGCATCAACACTCTTCCTTTCTTCCTTCCTAACCTGCAAGGTGTAAAACTCAAAACCCAAAGGCTTCGTGCTCTCACAGTTGAACACGCATACAAGCACACCTGTGGTCGGCAAAACACCTGAGCACCACATGTGTAAAAGAAAATATGTAGTATGTCATATTTAATATTCCGTATGTGTTTAGTACATTTTATTTCCCTTAAGTAGAAGTATACAATACATATTTATTTTAGATATGAGACGTTTTCATTTTTTACATACAGGACAGTCTGAGAAACTAAATTAAAATGTTTGTAACTATCTAAAGAAAGCGTTATCTCACATGGAAAAAATGGTCTACCTGGTCGGACGGGATCAACCTTCATACTAGACAAAGGCCCTCAACATTGAATCGTTTGCGGCGTTGCGTGGACAAGTCTCTGTTTTTGTAAGTCTATATGAGCAGTTGTTTGTCCTACTGGATGAAACATGTCTTATGTGCATGATAATGTATAATCTCAAGGTTTTCCAATACTGGTCTGATAAATAAGAATAATAAATGGTATAAAAGTTAAAGTGAATGAATGACAAATGTGACATTTTTAATTGAAACAATACCTCCTGATTCTGCTGTAAAGCGCTACACCAGACCTATACCAACAAACCTCTGTCTGACAGTTTTTACTGTACTAAGTGTGAATGAGTAATTATGTGAACAACATTTTGAGACATATTTCACGACTGCAAATATTATCAAGGCTGCTGGTGTTATATTTTAAACAACTGCGCCAGTCAGTAAATCAACATATCAACAATTTATACATTTTGGTGACAAAAGTCTGGTCTGTAGAAGTCTTTGTGAGGTATGCTGGGTAACAACATGCTGCTTTGAAAGTCAGTCAACACACAGTCTCTGCAAAGAAATATTTGAAAGAATATGTGCAAAAAGTATGCAAGTAAGAGTAGCTACTGTACGCTTCCCTACAAATTCTGATTGAATATGTGCAAAAATGTGGGGTTGTGATTTTACTACATACACCAAGTATATCATCAGTCCTGGTTGTGTCCTCACTGGTTGGCAGCTTACCTCTGCCCGTCAATAGAAGAAATTTCCATTACTTTCGTCAATTAACACTCTGAGTGAGATACATTGAGACATTTTATAAGCCATACCGAACTGTAAGTTATCTAATGTTGAAAGGTCCAGGGTCATCATAACTGTATATGCAGTCGATTTAGTTTGGGCTAGACAATGAGGTTAGTGCAGCCTTGAAAATGATTTCTCTCACTGAGTGATCATGATTACAGTCATTGGTTATCCATGCACACGCTGTACATCGCCCAGTTAGAAGTCAGGCATATGGAAATCACAATACACAATACAAACACGTTCATCTTTGAATGAGTCACAATATGCAAGCTACCTGTGGGTTAGTCAGAGGCACAGAAGCAACTCTCAATTTGTCTGTCTCTTTCAAAGACCATGATTAAGCTAACCTATGCCACTGCGTAGAGATGGTCCATTTCTATTTTTAACACTGTTATGTAGCCTAGGCTAATTATCTATCCTATGCCAGGGCATAGGTTAGCTTAAAACCTACAATTAAGAAGGAGCTTAATTGTAGCTGGATCAGTCTAGATATCCAACAATGCTATCTGACAATGTCTCATGGTGGGAACTACATCCTCGCCTTGCAAGAGGGTTGGCACTCAAACAGATGACCGACATGCAACCGTGTTCCAAAGTTTTGATGCAGGGGAGACTTTTCAGCCATGGGGAGACATCACTGTTCTGCTCTTTGGAACCGCATCCTCTGAACTGCAAGCGCACACATGCAAACTCTTTCAAAGAAACTACACACAGGCTGAACATCCTATAGACGTGATGCCATCTAGCGGTTGCTGCATGCTCCGGCCACACCCCGTGAAGTGCAGGACTTCACAGTGCACAACAGTGCAACGCTACATCACAGTTGGCTGTGTTCACAAGTGCAACGGACCACACCCAACTGGGCTGTTGGGTGTGGTCAGTGGTGCAACAGACTTGAACCTTTCAACCCATAGAGGTCAGTGCAACAATTTTGACTCCACACTTGATTTAGTGTGGAGTTGCTCATTAACAGTCTAGGAGGCATCTTCACAGCACAAAACTGTGCGAGTGGTGAACAATTCTCCAACTTGCTGGTACATCCAAAGACATCATTCTGATCATTTAAATGTTAAGTGTAATTGATTTCCTGACCATGCAGGCACATGCTCAGGATTAGGAATCAAGTCGTTATCTTTAGTAGTTTTAGTGTTATTGCTTAGGTTGTCTAAGAACGTCTAACGTCCGAAAATGCCTGTCTACAGGTAAAAAGCCAAGACCCAGAACCCACTTAATGATAACTGCTACACCCCGACCTGAGGTCTCTCTGTCAACCAAACTGCATAAGAACTCTCCAGTACATTTAGCGAAATATCTTGCAAACAAGCTAGCTAAAGGGACAACATTAAAATCTGCTTGACGATAAAAACAAGTTAAGGGATCTACAGCCTGAGATACTCACAAAATACTGTACAAAGTGATTCCAAAGACAATGTTTCTTGACTCGCATAGCATAGACAAGCAGAGTAGAGAGAGGGAACCTCATTGGAAAGCGGCTAATATTACAGCTAATGCCCTAGGGTCAACTAGAGAACCTTGTAGGACAAACACATTCTGAGGGAAGCCAAAACACAAAGGGATCATTTACAGAGCATTTCACTATATTCAGCACAGGAACAAATAGCTGGTGTCCTGGGCATCAGACAAACTACTCACTGTATGAGGAAATTATTTTACTGCTTCATAATGTCATTCCACAATCTGATGTCACCTTGGAGGTTTTCACAGTTTAATCTAGATTCAAATGAAGAACAAAAACTGGTGCAGAAGGAACTATTCTAAATGACTAAATGTGTTTGAGGTATTCAGGGAAACCCTTTTTAATGTTCAGCCAGTGAAGTGCATGATCACCAAATAGCTCAAATTAAGCATATGTAAGAGGACGCCATTACATCTTCAGAGTATTCATTTGACTTTTGAAAGAGGTAGCAGACAAATTGAGAGTTGCCTCTGTGCCTCTGAAAAAAAAACTATAGGTGGCTTACAGTCATTGAATCATCCAATGATGACCCTGTGCTCACAGGGTATTATTGATTCAGCTGCCAGGACTGGATTTTAAAGCTGCATTAAGTAATTTTTGACCACTAGGGGGCGGAAAGACTCCAGAACAAGTTCACAACAGTTAGCAATTAGCTTATGAAGTTGTTATGGCTAACATGTTAGCAAACAGTTGCCTACTTACAAATCCAGCAGAAACAGAGCAACACGGACATCCCTTTGGTCTCCTTTTTCTGGCCACCTGTTGAATGTAATTCCAATATTCACTGGCATTTAGCCCTTGCTTGGTCCTCCAGCGCATGAGTATTATATCTGACTCTCTTTAGGCTTCGTAAATGTTCAAGTTTCTTCACCAGTTACTTCGGCTCTTTGCCATTTCGCGCTGTACAGTTAGCAAACAATTAGCTTGTTTTAGCTTCTGGGTTGGGAGCGGTGGCCCACGGTCGCATATACGAACAGACATTGTTTTGGTTTTTGTCGCTCTGGACACCAAAACAATGAGCTGAAAATGGTTGATAGCTCCATAGAGCTTCATGAGATGCTAATTCTCAGTGATACCGGCAATACTACCAATCCCATAAGCAGGAGGGAGTCGTATAATTAATGCCACAAAATATTTCTTAATGCATCTTTAAATCAAGTCAACATGCTCTTTTTATATGCAGGTTTTCATTCCGTCTAAGGACTAGACCAGGTGATTTCATCGTTTACGGCACTTTCAACCACAGAGGAAGAACTCACTGAAATGACTTGGTGTAGTGTTTGATTGGAAGGAAAATCTCCATCGCACATGGTTTCAGATCCCTGATCATCAGAAGTTTTGCAATAATGCGGCTCACATCATCTCTGTTGCTCTGATGCAGTTACAATGTCACTGATTTTGAAGGATAAAGTCTAATGGCCCTGTGCACACAGTGCTTAGTGTATTCAATAAAGGTATGAGCCAATTTTCACTCCTTTAACTTGCACACACAACAACATACACACACACACGCACACACACACACACGCACAAAATCCACTGGAGCAGAGAGAAGATTAGGCCATGCCCTTGTTGAGGACTACCTGAGGTCTGGGTTAATGAGCCCAGCAGTGCAGACAAATTCTTAATCTGGCTTTGTTTTTTCTTTTTTTGAAAAGCAATTTTTGTATTACAAATCCGTACATGCGGGTTTCACTTTGACACACTTTTCCCAATGAGCATCCCAGCGTGACATTTGGATTGTGCTTAATGGGTGGAAATATTCCACTTTTGCTTTTAATTAATCACACAGAGATGATGTGGAGCACATTTTTCACACAGATTTTACAGCATGTCTCCATGGCATGTCTCCACTGCTAATCAAACTAAAAGTTCATCTGTTCAACCCTCCACCACAAAACCATTCTCACACCAGATATGAGAAAAGATCAAATCAGACTTTGCAAATAAGTGTCTGCTGATAAGGACAAATTGAATGAACTTGGTGTTTTTTTTGTCTCAAGTTCACACAGAGTTTAGAGCCATTTACTCCCCCTTTGATTCTCCTTTCCACACCTGCTTGCTCACCATCCTTTCATCTTCCGCACCTCTGTTCTCCTCTCACTCCCACTCCCCTCTCCTCCTTCTGTCCTATTGGTCTGTGGCCAAAGCATCAAGCGTTATCTATCAAGGCTAATAGGTATCAACACAGGAACCTCTCTGAATTAACCCTAATGCCCAGTAAAGCCTGCTATTGATCATGCTCAATAAGTTTATCCCTCAACTAGTGATGGCTGTGGAGGACAAGGGTGAGGAGAGCATTGAGGAGGAAAGGACGGGGGAGGCAGTGATGACTGTGGGGGACTGTAGAACAGAGGAGAACACTGGGACAAGCCTGAGGGGGGGGGGGGGGGGGCATCAGCTGATACAGAATAACACATAGTTTACATAAAAGCAACCAGCTCATCAATTTAAACAAAACCAGAAATTAAAACCTTTACAGTCTTACCTTCCAATCATGGTAGAGTGCTGCTGGACAGCCGCCTCCAGCAGCCTCTCCAAAATGGTCCATTCCCCCATGGTGACGGAAAGGTTGCAGGGCTCTCAGAATAAACGGGACTTGGGGAGCCGACCCCTCTTTCTCCGGCGGACTCCTTCTTCTTCCTCCTCCTCTTCCTCCCAGGACACCGGACTGTGCTCTCGTGGACACTGCCGGCCAGCGGTTGCGGGTATACCCAACCCGGTCCCAAGCAGCAGCTCCCTTTTTGACCTCTACACGTTGACCTGGCCGATCGTCAGCGCGTCTTTGACTGTGTATAACACACAGAGAGTGAGCGTCTTCTCCTGGGCCCGTCCCGCTGTGCTTCCCCTAAGGCGGAGGAGAGGTGCTGAGCTGATTGCCTCCCCCCTCCTCTCTCCCTCAGTCTCTCCCCTTCTCCCCCCTCCCCTGTGCAGCGATGCTTGTCCTCCCCCTGCCGCACCACTCTGCTCTGCGCTACGGCATATGCTATAGCTCACTGTGTGACAGCCATGATCACCCTCTCTTTTCCACTTGCCTCGCTCCGTCCCCCTCTGCCTCTTCCTCCCCTGCCCCCTGCCTTCGTCCCCTGCCTTCGTCCCCCGCCTTACCCCCAGGGCACTCCTTGTGCTTTACCTGCGCTCCCTGCCATCAGAGCCGCTCTGCGCTCGTCCTTGCATTGTGTAGGATCTTTGCCTTTGCTGCACCCTTGCTACAACCCAAACGCACGCACACGCACACACCGCATGTAGCTGATCCTCCTTGGCTCACCTCAAGCGAACAGCACTGTAAACACACGCGCGCGCGCACACTCGATGACAGCTCTGAAAATCCCACTCTCTCCCACTTCCTACTGAGGACCGCAGATCCACTACAGCACACAAAGCTGCTGCCTGCTGAATGTCATTTCACGGCTGGAGGAATGATCGCTCCGACGGCTCAGAGCGCTACAAGGACCCATAAAAAACCTGCATAAACACACACACACACACACACACACTCTCTCTCTCTCTCTCTCTCAGAGCCGCACACGCAAACACACTGCCACCCAGCACCTCAGTAATAAATCAGCTGCCTTGCTGCATCCAGTGAGGCTGAACCGAGGCAGTGTGCTGCAGACCTGCTGTCCTGTGTTGTCCCCCTGGCTAATTTCAGCACAGTCCAATGCCCAGAGTCATGTCTGCTGCAGAGAGCGGGGATGAAAAAGCTCTCCTGAGAAGCCAACTGCTGGGCTCCATCGTCCTGGATCCCTCTCTCCCCCCTCCTCCTGCTCGCCTTCAACCTCCTCTCTCTCTCTCTTCCTCCTTCCACTCCTTTGCTCACGCTTGTGTTTCAGCTCTCAGTCTCGCAAACTACCACTAGTCTCAGTGTTCTGTCCCGATCTCTGCTTTGTGCGCTCCCTCTCTTTCTCTGTGTTCCTTTTCTCGCTCACGGAATCGCTCTATCTCTGTCACACTCTGCGAGCATGCAACAC